ACTCCCATGTTGAGAACCGCTGCTCTAAGAAGTCCTGGTAGCATAGTAGTGGGCTACAGTACGCCCACCTGTTAACCATAAGTCAGCGTTTCAAACTCACAAGCCTGCTCTGCAGAAGAAAAATGAAGTTATCTACTCTTAAAAAGACTCAGACACCCAAAGGGGCATTTCTACCCTGGCCTGTAGGGTCTCCATGGATTGGAACCTATTTGGTGGCAGTAAGTTTGGTTTTTGAGTATTGTCATCCATCAGAGGCATCCTGGTAGCATGGTGGGTTAGGAACTGAGCTACTAACCATAAATTTAGCGGTTCAAAGTCACCAACTGCTGCTCATGAGAAAGATGAGGCTGCTACCATAAAGATGAGCGGTCTCAGAAACGCTATGTAGACTTGTTATGAGTCGGAATTGAGTTGATGGCAGGGAGGTTTTTGGGTTTTATGCCCATCTAACATCCTGTTGTGCTGCAGTTGGGGTTCTGCCACAACAAAATTGCCTTAGTCCTCACCCAGGGTTTTCAGATGTGGTCCTAGAAGGCCAGGCCTGAGGAATACAGACCTAGGAGTAGCAGGCGCCCTGGTGATTTGGTGGTTATTTGTTGAGCTGTGATCCTCGTAGTCGGCAGTTTGAAACCACCCAGCTGCTCTGCGGGGAAAGACTGGGCTTTCCACTCCTGGAAACAGTTACAGTCTTGGAAACCCACGAGGAGTCACTATGAGTCATCATTGACTTAATGACAGTGAGTTTGTGTTTTTGAGTCCTACTTGTACCTTTCTAACAGCTATAGATACTGTAGCATGAGACCTATAAGTTAACAGTTAAAAAACTTCTGTGTGTAACTTCTGAGAAGTTAAAGCCCTTCCTCCTAGGTCAAGCTCACTGGTAAAGTCATTTCTGACTGGTAGCGACCCTGTAGGACATAGTAGAACTACCCCTCTGGGTTTCTGAGACTAAAGCTTTATAGGAGCAGGCAGCTGCCTCTTTGAACTTCAGAACACATGGTGTTTTTGAACCGCTGTCCTTGCATTTAGCAGTCCAAAGTATAACCCATCAGGCCGCCTGCTACTACTAGGTCTGTATTCCTCAGGCCTGGCCCTCTAAGGACCACATCTGAAAACCCTGGGTGAGTCCTAAGGCCCTTGTGCTTTGGTAGAACTCCAATGGCTGCACAGCAAACACTGTGCTTACTTTCTCAGCACAGGGAGTGTTGCTTCATACTTGTTATCTATCTCCCCTTGGTAGGATTCAGGAAATATACACAAGGAAAAAACAAGGGGAGCTGGAGTTCACCTCTAACAGTGCCCCCCCCCCTCCCCCAATCCTCTTGGGATACCACAGCGCCTTAATCTTGCCAGTATTGATGACAGCAGTGCCTTCAGAAAGTTGTATTAAGTAGAAGCAATCTCTCTGCTCATGATTGTAAAATACACATGAATTTCAGGTAACACAGTTTCAAACCAAACTCACAACAGTATGAAACCCTGCCAGTCACTCCTGCACCTTTCTCCATTGTTGGAGTCCTTGTGTCA